AATTCGGAAATATTACAGAACAATTCTAATCAATATTTAATAAGGCTAACTACATCCTTAGTGAGATATTTGATATACTCTGATTTTTGACAATGCCAATAGATTTTGGGAAAATAAATGAAAGTGTTTAAGCTCATTATTAAATGACTTTAGAAATGAAGCTGTTTTATTCAGTTCACAGAACTGGTTGAGATGTTAAAGCAGACTATCCCTTGTCAAATTTGCCAGACAGCCCGTGTTCTTCCAATGGATGTCTTCATACTGTCATGACTCAGGCAGGGAAAGGTCTAGTCTGCTGTCAAGCTACCATGAAAATTTGATAGAACTGCTTATTTTCTAGAATAGGAGAGTTAAGTATGCAAATCTGTCAAGTACCAATTATATAATTCTTTAGTAAGAGAAAAACATATTACTCCATTAAATGAGAATGTTTCTTGAAGGTCTGGCCAATTATTTTTCAGCTAAGGATATACAGAATAAAGCCAAATTGCAGGAAACATAAAAGTCAATGCAAATAAATTTTCATATGTCCATATTTATAAAGATTCACTGTATAGATGTCAAATATCCATACTAAGGAAGTAATTTTACCCTAATTAAATACACTCTAGAATAATTTATATGACAGTATGTCTTTAAAGAGAAAAGCATGTCCCAAATCCAGCACTCTGATACAGCTGCTAGTTGGGCACAGGTAGATATATATATATAGAGATATATATATATGTATATATGTATATATATACAAATATATAGTTATACTCAGTGAAATTAACAAGACCCAAAGGTGGTATTGTCTAGGAATAGAAGGGATAATTTTTTTTTGTTCACAAAAGTAACTTATCTAGCACCACACATCAGAAAAACACAAAAATAGCACACTCTAGTTCTAAACAGCTATGTCTAAAATAGATTATATAGTAAAACCGATATTATACAGCATATTGTGGATTTGATAAACAGATAAATATTTGCACTGAGTAGGCTGTTTATAATATAACATTTTCTTATCTATACAGATGAAAGCCAAAAAGTTAACTGTATAGAGATGTGCAGAACAACATTAAATATTATGACTTGAAAGCAGGGATGAAGGTAAATTCGAACGAAGAGTAAGAGAGAAAATGTTAACAGGCCATTACAAGTTCTTAAGTTAATAGTAAATAAGGAATCAATTGCTCAAGTTGAAGAAAGCAGTAAACAAGAGATTGCATTTACATGCAGATGTCTAAAATTTGTATTTTTTAAGTCTATGCACAAAAGTCATTTGTTTTATTGCTTGACATTCAGTTATGGCTAGATTATTTAACCTATTTTTTTGTACTTTGGAAACAAGATATTGTTAAAGGTGCCATAAAAATGGACAATATTGAAAACGGTTTGCAAATAAACCACCTAACACTGCAGTTCTTTATACATATTAAAAGCCTTGTCTGGGGTTTGTCATATGTTAAATATATTTAAACTGGGAAAATATGTTGTAGCTTGAAGCCTCCCATTGGCCCAAACATCCAATACAAAAACACATCTCCACAAAAGGAGCGACAGACAACACAGGTACATTTAAAGAAGCAGCCAGCTAATGTCCTAATGTTTAAACATTTACCACTGTTATATATGAGATTTCAAACCATTGTGGATAACAGAATTTTGGATTCAGGAAGATGTGTACAGTACATACAGATTTTTTTTTGTGAAGTCGTATTCACTGTATTGCTCAAGAATGATCTGCATTTCCATATGCAATCTGTTCAGTGATAATAGTATTCATCCACATTAGAGTAACGATGAGTGAGAAAGGAATTAGGCATGAACATGGGAGAGAAGTTTGTTCTTAGAGAACATGATGGCATGTACAGCACATCACAGCTAACAGCAAACTATCATTCATTCGTTCCCAGAGGGTCAAAGACAAAAGTGTGGTACTGCTCAGTGGCAAAAGCACAGTAAATGTAAACAGCAGACACGAGTTCTCTAGGTATCTATCTAAAAACATTCAGATTCACTTTCTTCACACAACACTCCATGTTATGTTGCATCACGGAAAAAAGGTGGTTTCTATTTGGAGTGAATATTCTGTCATTCATTTATAAGGAAATAAATGACTGAATGTATTTATTGCTCTAAGTTCTGAGGGTGTGGTTGAACATGGAGATGCCCCCTCCCTGACGTGGCTCCATGGTATGAAGCCAGGCTTCTGGACTATTTTTTCGAGAGCCTGACAAAACTGATCACGCATACACACAAACAAGGACACAGACCTGGAAGTGAAACCACTTATTTTTGGAGACTTTGCTAGTCAACCTCATCTCTTAAAAAATAAACAGCAACCGGAAGGCCTCTTTCATCGCCTCTGCTGGGACCTTTTCATAACTGGTGTTTAGGGACAAAATGAAAACCTGTATTACACAACATGAGCAACAGATCAAGAACTGATTGTTGCAGTTGCCTTTCTGGGCACATAATCTGAGCTGTAGTCTAAAGTCACTTCCATGGGGTTCTGTATCATAACTTTATTAGAAGTGGCAATCAACGTTAACTGGAAATAACCACCTGTGTGTGTGTCTATGAGCAAACATGGAAGCAGTGAGAAGGGGGGAGAGGCTTCTGCCATTTTTCATATTCTTTGTCAACAAAAGGTGAAAGTATCTTTGTCGTGTTCTCACATGGCATGAAAAGTTTCCCCTTATGCTTCTCAACAGTAATAAGACAATAGGAAAAGAGAGTGAATGTAGTCTATCCAGGGGTGGAAGAATCAGAACCAACAATCAGACCGAGTTCCTCTGACTTTAGGTAAAGTAATATACGGGAATAAGTAAACAAAGGTTATTTTAAAAATGTCAATGTGTAACTCTAAGAGCTGGATGAAGTAGCTGTCATACAAGTGCAGTGCAGTCTGATTTGTCTTTAAACAGTAGCTCCTGCTCACCCATCAGATATCTATAAACTACAGATGCGTCACAACTGTTCTAGATGAAGGGATTTTTGGTTCACTTGTGGAGAACAAAGGGAAAACAGTAGTTAATTGCTGGCATTAAAATGTTGCCTCTTTATCCATTTCACTGTAGTGATAGGTCTCATCACTGGTTTTAACATTTTTTATCCTTAACAGTTTAAAACATATTAGAGAAATGGTAACTAGGATCTGTAAGGGGTGCACTTTGTCTGTGTTGGCGCATTTATATTTTGAACACATTTTGTAACTTTGCAATGCTTTGCAAGTTGTTCAGTGTTCTTAAATCCACGAAACCGAAGGGCAAGTAAGTTTTGAACTCAACAAAATGAGACAACAGTGAAGTTTACACACATGTGCAGTTCTACACAGTTCATTTGCGCCTTGGAGGGATATCATCATCATCATCATCATTAATAGTAACATAATTTGTCCCAGTAGTACCGGCCACCCTGTTTTAAGAGTTTTAGAAGATCCCTGAGCACATTGTTTCTGACTCTTAACCCCAACTCCAAAATGATCGGGCTTCTATCCTTGATATCAAGATGGATTGTCATTCACAGTAAGTCAATCATAAGGTGCTTATTTACCCTTTTTTTTTTCATCAATCAGCACAAAGGACTGTCAGAATATAACTTTTATTATTATTATTGTCTTAAAATAATAGCACTGGAAGGACATATGATTTAAACAATCAATGTTTGCAACAGTGGCTTTAGGATTATTATCTGGCTGCCCCTCGACAATAACAAGTGATTCGATCGACATTCCTTAGCCAAAAACAAAAGGAAAAGAAACAAAAACAAACAAACAAAAAAAAAACACTGTACAAATATGTATTTTTCCCTGAGGGTTCAAGGTACACCCGCAAGTGCTCTATGTACATATTGCACTGGAGAGGAATGAAGGACATGTGCAAAAGAGCAACAGTGAGAAGCTGACACACCGCTCAGACCTTTGCATCGAGGACTCGCTACGTTGCTTTGCATTTTGGAATGTCGGAACACAAACAGCCATTCCTTCATCTAAAACGAAAAACACAAATCCCTACTATGGCACATTCAATGAAATAAAAAGTTTTCCAAAGACAGACAAATTCCATCAAGAAAATAATACAAAGTTTGTTTGTTTGTATTTTTTTTTTTAGAAAATTACATTACTTTCTTTCATTGTTTCACATTACAAAATCTGTTTTTTTTTTCTTTACACAAATCACATTTTATTGCAGGAATATTTCAAGTGCCATCAAATATTTATAGAAGGGTTAAAAAAATAGAAGTCTCTCTAAAGTGGTCCAGACAAGGCTTTGTATAGAATAAATCTTTTTTTTCTCCATCTTCTAATTTTGATTTAAGTATTTTGAATACATTTTCTTTTCCATTGACACTTAGTAGCCTAGAAGCGGTCTGACACATGCACATCATACACACGCAGGCCTTACACGCGCACACACACACACATACACACGCACCTTTCTTGCCTGACCCTCTGCCCACTCCCGTGTGCTCACAGAGATCTGGGTATCCACACTATAAAGAACAACCAAACTTAGAAGCAGTGTCTTAGGTTAGGAAGGGTGAATTAGGATGCTGAAGACTTTTAAAAACTCATAGCTTTAACACAAATTAGGGTGCTGAACACTTTTAAAAATCCAAAACTTTAACACAATTTGCAAACTGTCCAAAAAGCACTTTCATCTGCACTGTTGACTTTACCATGACCAAGGCCAGGTTTTTCACAATATGGTATAATCGTTTGGACACCACTGTAGCAGTGGTACAATGCTTTGTACAAAAGCTTATTTACCTTACTTTAAAAATTATATAAAAATGTTAGAGGAGCCAAGTTGAGAACAATGTGGTTCCAATCCTTAAGACTATTGGACACTTAAGCTTAGGAGACTTTGATTATAGAAACTGTCAAGAATAATTGTTCTGGTATCACCTAGTGTTTTGTGTTATCACCACACAGGTTTTTAAGAAGAAAATAAAAATGCAAATCTTTTCACATCCTTTTCTAGACTCAGAATTTCTTTCAACTGCATTTATTGTTTAGCTTCAGATCCCAACTTAGATCCAAGTAATAGTTGTTCCCTCAGTTTCTCCAAGCACGTCTCTGTCTCTACAATTCTGTTCCTACACTGTTGGTGGACTTTACACTGAAAGTTCACCTGCTTTTCTTTCAGGAACACCTAGAAGCAGCATCATGTTACTCTGTCCTGGTTTACTCTAAAAGCAATGTCACCATGTCATAGCTATTAATGAGATTAGAGCATCATTTTTGTTTTTGTTTTGCATTACATCCATGCAAAATCCTTTCTGGGAAAAGAATTTCTTTTTAAGTTCCACATTACTTTCTCTCTTCACCCTTAGAGAAGTTCAATTAGCTCTTATTCACAAATGGACACTGGAATTAGGTTTAGTTGCTCTTTAATACGCTAGCACCTGAGGCTGGTCATATTCAGAAAGCTTTGGTTAAAAAGAAGTTATTATACTTTAATAAAACCATCCCCAAATTTAGTGAATCTGAGTGACAAAAAAAAAAAAAAAAACCAAAACCCCTACCTCAAGAGACCCAACACCATTTCCCCTCAAAGAAGAAACAATAGAAAATATAATGGACAAATAAATAACTGAACTAAGCTTGATACTCTTTTCAGAGTATAAATACTATTAATCTTTAAAGGAACTATGCTTACTTAAATAAAAATTTGATTTAACCCTTTTTGCCCAAATATAAATACTATATGCTGACAGTTAACCTCTCTATATAAACACTCACATAAAATTTTATATGTAAGAAATTTAAGTAAATATTACTCTCATCTTCTATTTACCGTTAAACCCTTATCTTTTGAAAAAAAATGCGGATGTTATTTAGGCTTCATACACACTTCTGTGTAATTCCTTCTCCTCCCAGTGCCTCAGGAAACAAGTCAGGAAATTAGTGGGATGCAAAGCAGAGTAAAGTGCTCTGAGAAGCTGGTCCTAGTAGTCCAGCTCGACAGCAGGGGCCGCCGCGGTTCCTGCGGAAGATTCCGGGGGTCCCTAGTGGCAGAGGAGGCTCTGAATGTATGCGCTTCTCGTAAACTCCCACCTTCACACCACGGAAGATACTCTCTCTTCCTTACAAACGTGGTCTTTGCTGTCAGGCCAGCAGTTTGAATCCCATTCTGGGTGTGAAAATCTAAATGCCTACATTCCCCCAAAGGTCACTTGTTTTCAAAATATGTGCCCTTGTACATTACACTGTTCCTTTGCCCTTCCCCACTGGGGACAATTAAAAAAAGAACAGGACATTCAACAGAAATAACTCAGTATTTCTCACCTGAACACAAAAGCCAAACAAGCTTCTAAATATTTAATTAAATAAATTACAATCCACAGTTTTCTAGTGAAGATAAATACAAGAGTAAATGTTTGCAGCTAGCGTCAACTTCACTTTAAAGGCTTAAAATATTTAATATTAAATAAGAGAAACTGGTTCAACGTTGTATGCCTCCCTCACTGTCCTATCCGTCGTCCACCAAATATGGAGAGCAATATTCTAGAATAGCGGCATGTGGGGACTAGTCTAGAATCGGATCACTCTGAGATAAATGCGTAAGATTCCTAGGCTATACCAAGAACATCAGCATTGGAAGAATGCAACATGTCCTCACGTGGGGAGTGTGTGCCTGCTACAGATAGAATCTTACAATAAAAGCTAGGTTCCAGTAAATATTCTGGTTACTGATTTATTTCCAAGTTTGGACTCAATCCAGATGACTACTGAATTGTGTAAAATGGGCCTCCCAAAGGTGGCATTTTGAAAAGCCTTTTAAAAAAAATTTTAAAAATGTGCCTGATGGTTGAAATCCACAGCACCAATCATTCAGCTTTGTATGAAGCATAAACACATCTGTCCTTAAACTTACCAAAAAGCAAAATATAATTTAGGGAGAGTTGTTTCGGATTTCAAATTCACATGTGGAAAAAAAAAAAAAAGTCCAACATGTTGATTTCTAGATATGACCAGCCAGTCTTTTCAAAGTAATTTTGTAAACAGCAGCATAAATACCTCCCGACGTACCTTCCGAGCCTTCTCAGTTAAACTTGTGTTTCTGGTGCACATGCGACACGACAGTGAACACGCTAGCATTTAATTTAAAGAAAAAGGTGCAAAATGAAAGTGCCTTATCAATTCAACAGGAGAAGCTACACCAGGAACTACATTTTATATTAATTAAAACAATATATAAACAATATCTCTTTTAGCTATATATAGTCTTCATGCCCATTTACCCTGTAATATATTATAATGCTATTGTTGCTAGTGCTATGGACCCTTTTCGTGCCACCCTGCTGACTGGCAGTATTCGGTGAGAAAACAAAGACCTCCTTCATGAGACAAAGATGGCAAAGTAATGCCACAAGCTCTGCCATGCCCACCATCACCGACCACCGCTGGGCGCCATGCTGGAACTGACAGACTGAGGACTCTGCAGAAAGTCTGTGGGCAGTGAACTACAAGAAAAGGAATCCTCTGACTTAGTACCCTCTTTCTGTTGTAAACAGGTCAGCACTCAAGAAGTTGAGACAGAAAAAGGGTCCATATCTGTAGGCATAATGGAAATCATATGCATGAGAAAAACAAGTTCAACTTTTATTTGTTTTCATTGTTTCCCCTCCTTTGCCTGACCCCGATCACCAAAAGATGTGCAGTGTGTTGGCGCTCCAGGGCTGTGCAGGGCCATAGAAAGTGTCTTGGTTAATTTTTGTTTTCTTTTCTTTTTCATGTTTGTACTTCAGACATTCTAGAAGTGCTTGGGTGATACATTTACCCATCAATTTGCATTGCTGGCTCAAACTCTGAAGTGAACAACTCCTTGTATAATGGAGGAAAATGAAGTCGCACAATGTCTGGGTATATTGCTTTAAATGCCATTAGCTTTTCTGTGTGTCGTCCACATAAGGCTCTTAACGTAGACACCTTGCATATTAACTGTAAGTGGAGAAAGGACAGAAAGTCAGGAGGGGACAGGCACGTGAGGGAAAAGTCACGGAGTCTGCTTGATCTTTACAACACTTTATGACAGCTGAAGAACGCTTGAAGAAACCACACCTTGCAGAGAGAGCTGGTAAAATGCAGTGATGACACAGTTGTGTCACAGAAGGCTAGGAAAACACTGAATGCTAGTCTGAAGATGAGTCATTTAACCTGAAATGGTGACGGGAAATAGAAGTTGGCCCTGCTTTTTCGTGGCAGGGTCCAGATAAAAGCTCAAGGCTCTCTCTCACCACCTGCTCTTCCATGGCGCTCTCTGCTCTGCCACCCCGAACCCTTCCCTCTCCCACTGTGGAAGAGGCCTGGTGATGGAGACGGCACACACAAGGCCTGGGTATGAGGGTGCTCAGCCAGCGTCCAGGGTGTCCCCTGCACATACTAGGCAGAACTAGTACCGGTCAGTTCTAAGGGCAGCAACTGTCCTCTAGATAAAGAACTTTTGTTGTAACACAGCCATTCTGGGTCTGAGAAAAGAGTCAGAAGGCCCGGATGGAAGTCCCTGCACTGACCATTTACCAGCTGAGGGTAACACAGTGATGTGCAAAAGTGCCCTTCAAGTCTAAAGCACTGTACAAAGAATGCTTATGGCCGCAGCCCAGGATAGACCTCTCTAGGAAACGTCTTTTACCAGATCCTCTTAGGTGCTCTCTGTAAGTAAATAATTTTACTTTTGGGCAAGAAGACGGGTGAAGTTCCAGAGGGATCCCCCCCTTGCATTTCCTATTCCGGTACCAATCCCTGACATTAACAGATACAAAATCAGAAAGAAAGCAGCTGACCATCAGTTTCTGCCCTCCCAGGAGAAAAGGAAACTGGAACACAAAACCCAATACTGTTCAAATCATCCATAAGAAACAGTAGGGCTTCTTCTCAAACCAAATCCTGAGCACTAACATGGAAGGATATCAGCATATTTTAAATTGGCATCCTAACTATATTGCAAAAGATAACTAGCAAAAATGAAACCTCATGCTGGGAACACAGGACAGCAACAATAAATTGATAAAACACAAAAGTTATTTATCATTGACTACTGAATTTAATGGAAAGAGGACTAATATGAAAATACATGGTTATCCTGGCTCTTTTACTCTTTTATAACTCGTCTAAATTCAAAGATCCTTTTTCTAACCTATATCAAGGAAGAACCTTGACTCTGCTTTATGTGCACCTTTGATGGAACAGGAGGATTTCTTGAATGCATTAATGCTTTAAAAAACCCTTTTTATCTACCATTGCCCTGTTCATGTAGGGCCTGATGTGACGAGTGATAATAAACAGAAGTTAACCTCAGTAATGGGTTTTGGCCTAACAGAATCTTGAAATGGAGATTTCCATCTCTGTAGTAGCCTGTGGTGCACTGATACTTTTGGGGATTATGATTTAAAAGGGCAGCTAGCAGCATGACAATTCAGGCCATGCCAACTGGAGCCCTTCAGCTCTTACCTTTGTTAGTATTCCGTCCTCTCGGTGATTCTTCTGTAGGACGTGTTGAAGAGCTAGCTGAATTTTCTGTTGCAGTTTTTCAATTTTTACTTTTTCCTGCAGCCATGAGCGATCTGAACATGAAAAATGACATGCTTTAGCATCGCTGCTCGAACACCACGTTAGACCACCCAGTCCTCTGGCCTCCTAGGTACAGGTGATTACGCTGAGATGCATATTTAGAGACTCTCAGGCCAGCTGCCCCAGTCTTCCAGATTTTGCTGAAGAATTCCACTGAAGGAATGGAACAGGGATCCATGACAATTATAAAATGCGGTGCTAAGCCTTTGCATTTTTACTGATGCTCAAAAGAAGGGGAGGATCCACCCTTTCCAAAGCATAACCATCTGAATTTAAGGCCATCCTCATACAAGTGCGAATGAAACCACCTTGTCCCCTCAAGCCTTCCCCATAACTGTATTTCCGGGTGAAATACATCAATCCTGCCAGGCTTTTCGGAAAATATGAAAATTGCCTTATCATCCTGGGCAACTAAAATCGTCAGTAGAGCTCCCAATGACTTAAGGGTGCCTAATTTAGGATAAAGCCTGTGTGTGTAAGATTTCCAAATAGAAAACAGTTAATTTGCAAAAGTGACTGTCCCTAAGAAGCAGCGCTGATTGAAAACCCATGGACAGCAACTAGATAGACTTAAGAAAAGGTAGAGGTCTTACAAACAAAACAAAAAAAGTCACGTTATCTTGGAGATGGAGTTAAGAGGACAGCCCTACTCTATGATTTCTCTTGCTGTCTGGAGGTGAACTCTGGCCTGGGTTTTATTCAATTTTGACTTCTTACAATTTTATCTAAGAGGCATGAGGTCTAACAAGTTGATGTGAGTGGGTAGGGTGTTCTTTGAAAAACTTTAGATTTTACAGAAATGGCAGCTGCTTCTGAGAGCCCCTCAAATATTTTAAACCAGTAAGAGTTATGTCCCTTGTAAAACTTTACATGGAAAAATTAAAAACCATTTAATTTCTTTTTTTTCATCTTACCTGCTGACATCAGGACAAATGCAGAAAATAATGCAATTTCATCTTCGGTCAGGTGCATAGAACATAAGCTCTTTCCAAATTCAAACACAAAGCTAATAAAGTCTTCACAACCTGTACAAAAGTAAAATAAAGACAGTTCAGGATTTTGTTTAACTAGGAGAAAAACGTGGATGCAGGTGAAGAAAGATCCAGTAACTGAAGATCAGAGGGGATACTAATTGTACAGGAGAAAAAGCAGTCTGAAATCGTAAAATAAAAATGGGTTTAGTCAACCTGGTCCTCACGACTCGCCATCGTCACCATCGTCATCGACAAGGGTAACTGACGTTTGCTGTGTGCCTACTATGTCACGCATTCTAAGAAGTTTCTTTGGGTTTTTTACTGTTTCAGGATGGCCCTGTGAAGGAGGTATGGTACTGGTGTTATCATCACCCCCGTTTTGTAGGAGAGGAAGCCGACACCTGGCAGGGACAAGTCGTGTATCTGAGGTCACACAGGTAGAAAGTGCAGCCGAGACGCACAGCCAGGCCGAGCGACCCCAGGGCCCAGCTATTCAGTGGTCTGTGGCAACAATCTAATTGAAATGTTAAATTCATTCTTGTGTTACCTTAAAATGCTAACAAATGACGTATACAGGTGGGGAAACTACCGTGACTGTTCACTGAACTGAAAACGAGATCTGAAAGTCCGCTAAAACAACGAACGATACAGCCCCTCCCAGACTGGTGAAGTCTGGTGGCTGCTCATTCAGAGTGGCCTCCTTGTAAGTGGAAATGCTTAAATGGCAGTGGGCCATCCTGCACTTAACCCACACTGAGTTTCGCTCAGGCAACTCCAGAAAAGATCATTTAACACGATCTGGATACCTTCTCATTGTTTTTTATGACTGTATTCTACCTTTATTTAAATTACAGGAATTCAAAATAATTTATGAAGTGTATGTTTTAGTTTCACTTAGCTCTACTTTCCTTCCTTGATATTTGCATTTCCCTCTCATTAAATGGTATTTGAGGGGTTGGGCACGGCAGACTTTAAGTTCCTTGCTTGCTTTTATGTACCCAATCATACTGTTAATTACTGAATGGTATATTCCCTTTTAATGCGCTCTCTTAAAATCTAGAAGAGGAAGTGGAAGGGCAGAGAATATAAATCACCTGTTACCAGTGGAATGAAATGAAATCTAGACCTTTACATGGAATATACACAAAAAACACTTGAGGTATGTGACTTTTCTATAAAAGTAAAACAAGTATGAAATCTTCATTTTGGTCCAGATAACCAGTTTTCATTTCATTTGCTCAAAGTCCTCACCTAACCCACATCTTTCCCTAGAGCCCTGACAGAAAATCCAGGAAGGTGGCTTGATGAGAGGTCCTTACCTAAGGATTTGAAGACATCAGGGCTGGCGTACTTCCCGTCAAAGTACACGGTGTTGTTCTGAGAGTCGAAGGCACGGCACATTCTGATGAACACCACCTCTAGAGAACCTGACGGACACAGAGTTGGTTCTGGTCATTTGATCTAGGGGACTTTATTCCCAAGGTGCTAAAATCGAGCCCTCTCTGCTACAGCAAGTGGGCGCTGTCTGCACAGGAGCTCGCAGAGGGATCCTGGCCATATTCTCTCTCTGCAGAAGGGGAGAGCTCATGACTAGAAGCAGAGATCATCCTGCTAAAGCCAAGCTTGGTAGAAATGGGGACTGACTGACAAACGACTTCCCTGGTACTCCAGATCTTGCAAAGTGAAGCCTCAGAGGCACCGGGGAAGTACTGAGTCATATTTATCACAACAATCACAAGCAGGAGTGGCTCCCTGAGTTTCTCAAGCGTCTTGCTAACAACTCAGTATTGGGAAGTGGAGGGTAGATGACGCAGGTGGTAGTAAAATTTGGGAATGTAGGTGTCCTATTTAATCCTTTCACCTCGAGGACAAACAGTACGGAGGGAATGTTTCCTGAACATAGCTTCAAAAACCCTTGAAAAGCACACAGTTTCTGCTAAGGGAAACCTGAGCAGTTATCGCTGGAGAAAAAACTGCTCTCCGCACCTTCCTTACCAAGCATTTCTTTAATGAGCAGGTGAAAGCAGGTTAGGGAGAGACATCAGCCTTCACTTGCAAAGCGCATACCTGCTTTTAGAAGCACAATTTGATCGTTTTGACATAGTTCCATAAATCCGTCAATGCGTTTGGCAAACTCCACCACGTACTGTATCGCTTCTGTAATTTTGATGGCGCATAACTGCCACATCACCTCCCGCTGCTGTTACAGAGGAAATATTAACACACAGGTCACCCAGTATCCTTGGAACAACTTGTTTGTCCCTGTTCTGTAAAGTCTTTCTTTGGAAATGGGTTCAAAAAGGCTAAAAGACTAGAAAATAAGTCACTGCCTTGTTATTTGTTAGAAGCACCACTTGTGTCCTCTCTGCTGCCTCCTGTACCGCTCTCACCTTGAGGACAGCAGTGGCACAGGTGGAAGAGGCTAGGACACAAGGAGCTGAGAAGTCAGGAGACCAACACGAGCTGCCGCTGTAGCCCCAGGCCGCAGAGTAGCCAAGGAGGATCTTCTTTCAAGCAATGTTTTTTTTTTTTTTTTGCCTTGGGACATTTAATAACACTTCATTCCCTTTGAGTAAAGGGGAGTCAATAAAATTTGCTGCGTACCTGCTGTGAGCTAGATGCTTTATGACACCCTTGTCTCGCAGCTTCTTCGTAAGGACTTTTATCTGTCGCCCAGAAATGACAGGAAAGCTTACAGAGGTTCTACAGCCAGGCGGTGTAAGAGCTGGATTCAAATCCCAGCATGTCTGACTCTGAAATCCCATCTCATGGACCTTACTGTCTCTTACTGCTCTCTCGCCTCTCCTTTGCAGCTCTGGCTGTGGTTCCCTGCTGCCTGGAAGGCAGTGAGTGACATGCTCCTCAGCCTGGCCTCTTAATCTCCCTTAATATACTCACTTTCTAAGCCAGCTACTAGATGACCTGGATCTGTCACACTGTGCACTCGTTTCCCCAGTCTGGTGGGGTCTGAGACACACAGAACTGGGAGCTGGGAGTCAGGATCTGGTCCCGGTGTTTCTGTTCCCTGTCTCCAGCATACCCTCCTGTGTTAGTAGCTTGTTGATCAGGGTGGTGTACAGGAAAGGTAGGTTCGTAATGCTACATTCAGGTCAGTTATGATCATAACTTCCCAAGCTTGTTTTTGTACGTGCTATAAGCTCCTTTGTGTAAACCCCTGGAAACACAAGGCTCAGATTATTCCGCATCAACTTCCTAAAATGTTCCATTGTGCTACTAGGACAAATCTCCATTCATTTAGATTTTTGGAAGCTGCTCGATCTATTCCCCTACTGACAAACTGAAGGAGATCTGTGTATCTTTATAAAACAAGAGAATCTGTTATCACGGACATTTCCAATGCTGGCGTCTCACTGAGATGGCAAAGCCTCCAGCATACAATCAGCCTCGGAAAGGGGGGCAGGCTTTAAATGAGAGATCTGGTGTCTGAGAAGAGACACTGATGCTTTGGTCACTCGGTACTCTTCATACAGCTCCTCCACCTACGCCCTCCCCAGTGTGGCCTCAGCCCTGAGCCAGTCCCTCCAGTGTGCAGTGTACCTTGTTTTGATAGTTCTCAATCTCTTCCTGTAGAAAGGTCTGCCACGTGATCTGCTGGAGCTCTTCTCTCAAATACTGGCAGGTTTCCAGGTGTGATTTGGATATATTCTGTGCAAGGTGTTCTAAGAGGGAAAACAGGAGATCACAGATGTGAAAAGGCCCATTCTTCCTCGGATACTCCGTGATTCCTCCGCTTAGCATTCACTTTAGAAAGCAACAAGGATAAAGCCGTGTGCGGCGCCAGTTTTAATGATCGTGACGAATGTACACAAGACACGTGGAACTGTTCACAAGTGGGGAATGTGAGGGTGGAGGACAGGGTCTTAGAAAAGCCGCCGTTTCAGGATGAGGCTTGGTGACTTCAGAGACCCTGCTGACCTCGACCAACTTGTTCTGTGCCTCACTAATGTCTGGAATGAACACATACTGACCTAGAGCGCTAAGGGGAATGACTGACATCCTGACATTTTTATGCTAGCCAGAAAAGCTCGTGAAAAACTAGGAAATGGTATTATTTTATGAGGAGTTGTATGTCTTTCTTTCGTCTTGCCTACAAACGGCAGGATAGACATTGGTAAGGACCTGATATGTGACTTGGTGTAGCGTAGCGAAGAGATAAGCTTTTGTGCCTAGGCTGTCAGGGTCTGCATCTGAGCTTTGCGACTTTTTAGCTGTATGATCCTAGGTATGTTATTTAACTTCTCTCTGCTTGGTTTCCTCATTTGCAAAATGAAGAAAATAGTTATGTCACAGGGTTGCTGTGGAAACTAGGTGAACATGTGGAAGGGTATAGAGTGAGTGCAGTTATTATATTTGAGGGTGCAAAGTTTGATGATATTAAGACGCCAAAGGCATTTTCTCTGGGCATTCATAATCTGTGGACATGTGTAGACATACTGAAAAGGAAAATTGAAGGTATTAGGCAATAAAGTGTGAAGATCCATTACATCAGGAGATAAAAAACAAAACAAAACGGACACTAGTAGGAACAGGGAGGCCAGTGTTGACTTAGTGGAACTGGAAGATGTTTCTTGGCGGACAGGAACATTTGCACTGGACGCTGGAGAATGGGCAGGATTGGCAGTGGGCTCAGGGGCGTTGGGAGGCCGACCAGCTCCACACGGGGTGGTGGGTGAAGAATGAATACCGCATTTATAGGGGGCAAGTAGTTGTGACGGGTAACAACATCAAAGTAGAAATACAGGGCAGAGCCTGGCTCCCGCATGTGAAGACTGAATCTGGAATGTGGACCTGGTGTAACAAAAGCAGCTGGCAGGATTCTCCAGGAAGAACTGCCATATTGAAAAGTGCACCTGGAAATGGAGGGTGAGCAGTTTTGTGTTTCGGGGCTGGGAGCACAGAGCAGCTGGGCAGAAGGACCAACAAGGCTGCTAGAGAAACCGAGTGAGGAGCATGCTGGTAATGAGTGGCATGGAAAAAGAACGATGAAAGAAAGTGGGTGCGACTCGGGAGACGGAGGCAGGAGAATCAGAAGTTCAAGGCCACCCTTGGCTATCTAGTGAGACCCTGTCTCAAAATTTAAAAGTCTTTTTAGAACGTGCTGGGGATGTAGCTTAGTGCTTTCTGAGTTAGATCTCTAGGACCAACACAGGTATGGAGGCTTAAAAGAACCGACGCACATCTGCGAATAAGAAACCCAAAATGACCCCTTCCCCCAGTGTCCTGGACATACAATGGGCAGTGGTGTTGAATGCAGCCTTGGCAACACTCTGGCAAGAGTGTCTGTCTGTAAATTTGTTACTGCTTCCCTCAAACAGAAGGAGGCTTGTTTGTGTGAAAACAGAGCAGGTTCACCTAAATGGAGTTTGAAATGAGAATCTCCTTGGAGACAGAAACATAGTAAATCTTAATGGCCCTATTTGGCAACACACAGACGCTAAGACAGCATGGATAGATGGCATAAAAAATAAAACATAAACAAAGGAAAAAATTGTAAGGCAAAGAAAGAGAAACTGAAAGAGGAGGAGGAAGCCAGTCGGTCCTGCATCTCACAATTGTGCTTATGAAGAGTAAAAGTCAAGGTAACGGGAGTCAGAAACCAGAAAATAAATGCATAAATAAGGCATTGAACTAACTCCGGTAGAAAAACTTCTCACTACAGAAGAGTTCCTACAATGTAAACCCATTTTGAAAATATGAAAAAAAAAAAAAAAAAAAAAAAAAAGCAAAGCTGACTTCACAGGGCATGGGAAGCAGCTCACAGGGTTCTCTTCTGGGTATGCTGCTTTTCCAGCCCAGAGTCAGCATTTTGTTTCACTCATCTTAAAAAACTGTTACCACAGGGCCGGGGATTTAGCTCAGTGGTTCCGCCACCTGCCTCGCAAGCGCAATGTCCGGAGTTCGAATCCCTTGTACCAAAAAAAAAAACAAAAAACCAGGGCTGGGGATGCACCTCAGTGGATGGAGCGTTTTCATGCCAAGTGCAAGGCCTTGGGTTCGATCCCCAGCCCTTATGTAAACGATTGCAGCACACCCTTCATTACATCCAGCTTTTAGAACAGCCAATAAGAACGGAAACAGGCAGTGCAATTCACAGGATATACCAGTAGAGGGCAGTAGCTGCGTTCGCACCAACTGCTCACTGCCTTTGATTCTAATTTAAAATAGATTTGATTTTAGATACTTTGCAATTTTTACGTCTCCATTTCATCGAAGGAGAAAATGGTCTGGGTGAATAAAAATTAAGAAGGGGGTGTGGTCTTTTCTAGACACACTACAGAGTAGTGACATACCTAGGAACTCCAGAGACTGGATTTCTACTCTGACCTGGCAGATGCCATGTGGTGTGTGTGTGTGTGTGTGTAGGGGGTGGAGCAGGCAAGTGCCTTTCTAAACTCAATCACGACTGCTTCATCAGTGCAGCCACTGTCTAGGTCCACCAGATGGAATATGTGGCTTCTGAGTCCCAGGCTTTCACAGTGGGAAGGAAGTTTAGATATGATCTGGTCTAAACTCTGCTCATTTTAGACAACATTATCAACAATCGGTGACAACACTTCGGTAGCACTGACCATGTGCCACGAGACTCGTATACGTAGCATGTATTGTGAATATATGGAAATATGTATACTGTATTCCCCTCTCCGTACTCAGTCCTCGTAATACCAGGAGAATGGTACTAGTACTGTCTCCATCTTATATTGGAGGACACTGAGCCACAGTGAGGTTCAGTGACTTCACCAGGGTGTCACGACTAGCAAGCGGCTGGAAAGGGTTAGGATCTGAACACAGCCTGGCTTCTATGTCTGTCCAGGCTGTACAGTCTGCAGGCAGGGTGACTGCAGGTACAGGGGACACGACTGCCACAGGGCTGTGCAACTCACAGCAAGAGTGGGACCACCACTCAGAACGGCTGGCTTCTTGGCTCATTCTTTGCCCAGTACATCAGCATTAATTAACAATTACAGCCCCACACGGGAATAGTACTTTACAGAAGAAGAACCTAGGGTGTTTATCTGGAATATGTAATTCAGGTTGTAGTTGCACTTCAAGGGCAAAACTTCCTACCCAAGGATACAGACATGTTCCAGTAAAAGTGAAAGGCTGTGAACACTATTGCTGAAAAATAGGACTGTACTTAATTAATTTACACTTTCCTACTGTACAGCTGGTTTCGTTTGCTTAAAGTCTGATGACAAAGTTTAGCCTAAAATGAAGCTGAGAGTCTTAAGGGGGCAGGTTTCACGCTCTGAGGCAGCACCACGGAGTTTCAGGTGGCTCAGGGCGGTTCAGCTGTCTGGGGCCTCTTTCACATCACCTTTGCACAGGCAGATGATACAGAATGTGAGAAACCAATCTGATGCTTTTCTGAAATATTCTAGTTTTCTAGCTTAGTATTTTTTTTTTCCCCGAACCAGGGTCTCACTTGAGGTGCCGCTGCATTCTCTTTCCTTCCAGTTTAGTTTTGAGTTCAGGGCTGCTCTTAGTTATGAGTTAATTCACTGTGGAAAAGGCTCCAATGCATATGAAAAGTCCCTAATTTAAAAGAACACAAGGGCTGGGGATTTAGCTCAGTGGTTCCGACGCCTGCCTCTTAAGCGTAAGAACTCGAGTTCGAGCCCCAGCACCAAAGCCTGCGGGCCCAGGGCCCCCCAGCTGCACTGGAAATGCCCACCGTGGAAGAGGACACTGTTTATCAGAGGTCTCGCGGGAGGTGCTTGCACAACTCTGGCCCCTCCAGTATTAGCAGTTTCTCCCAAAGTGCCAAGCTCAAAGGCAGCGCATTGGCTCAGCCCTGTTGGTCCATCGCAGAATGAACATCCGACAAGCCAACAGGACAGACTCACTGGTATTCATGGTAAGGGGGAAGCAAATCTAAAGTGAGTCAGGTCATTTTTCATGGGATCATGTCACCTTTCAGCCAAATCCTTATTCATTTCTGAAAATTTTACTTTCATTACAGTTCTGCTTAAGGCTCAGTCAACCAAGATTTCAAGACAGAAATGGATGGTTTTGTTCTAGTTCAAGAAAAAAAAAAAAAATCAAACCTACCTCTGCTCAGCTTGGCTTCTGGTTCAGAGGTTTCTCTGTTAATCAAAAGAGCTGCACTACACCTTTATTAATGCTGTTCAGTGGTTAAAGACCAGGCTCAAAGTGTCTCTGCACTTGAGGATTTAAATTTAGCCCCATAAAGAGATGCTTGTGTAGAAACTGTAAAGAATGTTCAATTTGTTCTATTTGGAGAATGATTTTACTGGAAATATAAATTTTCACTTAAAAGATGTTTTATGGGGGACAGAGGGGGAGAAACCTCTAAAGAACACAGCCATTATTTCTGTGAACTGAGGATTTCTGTGCTCAAGTCAGAACCTGCTGGTTCTTCCCACCTGAGGTCTTCACGCTCTCCTCGTGTTAACTTGGTTCCCTCCACTGCCGCTAATTGAAATATCCCAAAGGATTATAACCTTGTGTGAGAGTCGCCAGGAACAGCACATCAAACTCTCCTACTGCAAAGGTCCTTATCAAAGTTTTTCTAATAATAGTGCTACATTTAAAAATCAATTAAATGTAGCAGAGGATGGGAACATCTCTTCCTTGAAGCGGAAAGTTTTCCACTGTCTGTGTTCTAGGTCACATCTCCCAAAAAGCAGTCACGTCCCAGCAACAAGGAAAATGACAGAAATGACAGGCATTATTTTGTGGAGTGATCCTTCTACGAAATGTGTCAATTTTACCATCAGGATTCATCCTGGGAGCTTTTTGGCAAGCAAAGAAGCTAGCGGCCTTTGAATAACATCTGTCAAGGTTGCAAAGCTTAGCAGCCGACAGTGGCCAGGCAGACGGCAGGAGCGGAATTAGTGGGGTGCCGTCAGGAGGCACTACCCCAGCCCTGGGATCTGGTCCCGACCCCCATACACACACAGCCAGAAATCTGAGCTTATTACTGTAAGTGTCCATGTTTGGGGCCAGTGGGAAAGGCAAAGTCGAGAGGAATAACTTGTGATGTTCAGCTGTGCAGTGGGGTGACTGTGAGGAGAGAGAGAGAAATCACCAGGAGAGAGGATTTTGAATATTCCCTCTGTAAAGAGGTGAGAAATGTGTGCGGTGATACGCTAAATATTTTCCATTATTGCACTATACCGTTCTCTGTAAGTGTACACACTAGTGTCTGTGGAAAAAAAAAACCCAAAAGTTTCCGTTTTAGCTATCAGTTCAAAAATTTAAAAATTCTACACTGGGGGGAAAAAAAATCTGTCTCCCTACCAGGTTCAGTCTGTGGGCTGTGCCCTCAGGTACAGAGTGATAGCTGCAGTGTAAGGAACGGGACCCCTGAGGGTCACGTGGTGCTCTGTGGGACATAAAGCCGCATTCATTCATCCCCACCCTTCTGGGGCGAGAGGTGGATGCGTTTCCTGGATACACTGTGGCGGGGACGGTAAGCTGCCAAAAGCGAGGGTGTGAGCTGGGCGTGGTGGTGCACACCTGTGAGGCCAGGGCTCTCAAGGTTTGAGCCTGGACACCTTAGTGACGCAGCTCAGTGCCAAGGCCCTGCTTCAGATCCTCAGTAGTGAAGGCGGCTGGATGACCGAGGTACATCGCACTGCATTTGCAACCTGATCATCTTGTGGGGGGCAGCCCGCGGCGGAAGTGTGCATGCGCTTACCTAGCTCTGCCATGGACACGGTCGGGGAGGTCTCTCCGTTGGTGAAGGAACAGTAGGGAAAGAAGCCGGATGCTGGTGCGTAGTCACAGATGGGCTCGGGTTTGATACCATTGATGTCCAGCCCCGACTGGTCCGGGGAGGGCTGGATGTCCAGGTAGAAGCTGCTGACGGCTGAGTCGGCCTTGCTGCCCTCGGGGGTGTGCCCGTCCATGTAGGTGCTGAGGTCCTCGTGCAGCTCCGTCAGCCCGTTGGCCGAAATGCTGTAGGTGGGCGTCAGCGGCTCGGCCTCCCCAGGCTGCTGCTGGTGGTCTCGCTGCTGCTGCTGCAGCCGGTGCTTCTGCACCTCTGCGTACAAGCTGTCTCTCTGCTTCTTCGACATCCGCCCGAACTTCACGGCTGGGGAAGAAAAGCCAAGCTCATCCTCACCGCCCTCTCCCCCGCAGGAGGGTGCAGTCTCAGTCCAGAGCCCCCTGGCCACAGAGTCAGGGCACCGTCCCCTCGTGACAACCGTGCAGCCCACACAGACCGGCTGCATCCCTCCCTGGCACGAAAACCCTGGAAAAACCACCTCTCAGACCCAGCACCTGCAGGAGCACCCTGGGGCAGCGGGCTCACGGGAGGGCACCCCAGATGTAACCTAAGGGGCTTGTTCACGCTGCACTGTGTGGCCAGCCCCGACCTTCTCCTGCACAGACCCCCTAGGTAGGCTGAGGCAGAGCTGTCAGGCCTCCACTTTCGCCTAACTCTGCTCCGTGTTCAAATAAGCTGCTTCCTCTTCAGGTAGTTGCACCTGCGGCTTCCTGCAGAGGCCCAGACGGACTGCACCAGGCTCTGTCAGACCCCGAACGACATCCTGACTGGCCCTGACCTAAGAAGTCCCCTCCTCCACTCATGGTCCTGGAAACCCCTGCGACATCCTCAGACCCATCTTGAAGGAACAGTTTCTGCGGTTCTCGCTCATCTTCATAGAGCACTGCATACGATTCCCAGTGGGTGCCTTTGCGTCTCTAACGATTGTCCTCGGAATGGGCCCCTATTTAAGGTGGAGCAATACCCACAGCGACTTTCCCGGTGGTCATTCAGAGTCTCCATTTCTCCTGAAACGCTTGGAAGGGTCGGAAGCCTTTGATTTCCTGCTCTGTATTCTCCCTCTAATTTGCCTCAGCTGGACTCTGCCTGCAGCTCCAGCCTTTGCTGGAGGCCTCGATTCCCCTAACTGCGGTTAAAGTTAGTCCTGATTATGGAGGTGAACTCATCCTGGTGACCAGCATCCTGGTGACCAGCGTCCTGGTTACCCGCGTCTGGGGCAGGAGAAATGCAAGGCGTCCAAGACCACCAGCCGCCAGGTCGGGGAGTCTCCTGCCACCGAGGGGGAAGTGCTGTCCTTCAGGGAAAACAAATGAACAGGGAATACTGGTCATCTGTCAGTTGCTACCACCTGGGTAATGACGCCAGGTGGCGCTGCCCTGACAGCTGATGTGGGCCCTGGAGTGAGGACTGTGACTTTATAGACCTCCACGTTCTTTTCACACCCAGAGTTGCTCCATCTCTCTCCCTCTTTTCTTTTTTTTTTTGGATAGTACTGGGGATTGAACCCAAGGCTCCTACATATTAAGCAAGTGCTCTACCACTGAGCTACACCCCTGGCCCTTTGAAACATTTTGTTTTCTTATTTTGACACAGGGTCTTGCTAAGTTGCCAGGAGCCTCCACCTTGCCATCCTCCTGCCTTAGCCTCTTATAGCTGGGACTGTACATGTGTGCCTGCATACGAAGCTTGTGTTCTCTCTCTTTTTTCTTCTTCTTGATACCAGAAATCAAACTCAGGTCCTCATGCTGAGTTATATGTAAAAATTCCAGAAGACATACTGAGGGTAGTTCATTTTCTGAAAAACCCTATTCTAGGAAACCCAAGGGGATTAATACCCAGAAGTAAAACTTACTCTGCTGTGATCCCATAGTTGTATTTTAACATGTTGTTGGTTTTTTTGTTTGTTTGTTTTTGTTTTTTGAGACAGGATCTCTATGTAGAGTTTCCAGAAGACATACTGAGGGTAGTTCATTTTCTGAAAAACCCTATTCTAGGAAACCCAAGGGGATTAATACCCAGAAGTAAAACTTACTCTGCTGTGATCCCATAGTTGTATTTTAACATGTTGTTGGTTTTTTTGTTTGTTTGTTTTTGTTTTTTGAGACAGGATCTCACTATGTAGTTGAGACTGACCTGGAACTTACTATGCAGCCCAGGCTGGTCTCAAACTCATAGCGATCCTCCTGCCTCAGCCTCCTGAGTGTTGGGATTATAGGCGTGCATCACCATGCCCAGCTGTATTTTAACTTTTCACCACGCCCAGCTGTATTTTAACTTTAACACCACAACAGTAAAGAAACATCCCGAAAGTGAAATAGAAGGGCCAGCTCCTGAGAAAAATACAACCCACAGCTTTAACTTTCAGAAGAGAACCAGTGATTTTAATTCCCAGGTTGGTAAGGAATACACCTAACTTTGTGTCACCGTAAGGTAAACTGCAGAGTTTTGTGTCTTGGGAACTTCTGAGATACAGTGTGAGTTCTGTGACTTAAGTCTTTGGATGACGGACTTATAGTGGCGCACAGGGTGGCCACGCAGACTGCAGGAACAGAAGTGAACTTGTCCCCCCGCGCAACATCTGATTATGGGGAAGCCAGGCTTCCCACAGACTGAAATTCCCCTGCATGGGACATTTTCCTTCAAAGGGATCTCTGAAGACAGCAGCTGATATATTTGGAAAAGTCCTTAAAGAGACTAGCTGTGCTTTCCACCCAGTTTCCCTGTATAAGAATAACTGTCTTGAAATCTGGTGTTGATTATTCAGTGCACTTAAGATAGTTTTCCAGGAGAATCTTAAAATGTCTGTAAGAACAGTGGACAGTCTCTAGTCCTTAAAATAGCGTCTCTTAATGAAATGAGCATTGGCCCTATTTTCACACATTCTGTCCGAACAAATATTTGATTTGGGCCCGGGACTCCAAAGATCCAGTTAGCACAAAAGCTACTTCATCCCTCCTGCCGGTAAACTCACTAGCGTAAGGCCAGTGATAACTGTCTAGCTTGTGTTTGCTGCGGGGCTAACTGCTCGTAGGTATCAAGGCCCTGAGACGACCCCAACTCCCTCCATCCCCCTGTCATCTCTGAAGTGTCCAAAATCCGAGGACCTCGGTGTCAGCCCCTGGTCCTCTGAAGCTCCCCGGCCGCCACGCTGCCGCCGCCTCTAGTGGTTGTAGGGAGAAGGCAACTGCCGTGGATTCCACAAAGCCAGGGCCTGGGTCGGGGCAGGGGCACCTTTTGCCCGCGTGGGGCCCTGCTTCAGAAGGCCCTGTCCCAACCCCAGGCCAGCGTGCCACGCTCACCGTCTCGAGACATCCCCACGGCGAGGCATTTCTGCAGACGACAGTGCTGGCAGCGGTTCCTACTGGTGCGATCAATCAGACAGTTCTTCTGACGAGGACAGGAGTAGGTGGCATTGCTTTGCTGACTTCTCCTGAAAAAGCCCTGTGATTCAGTTATAAAATATAAAACAGGTTAGTGTCAGTTCCACGGGTAGGACGCTAAAGGCAGTGCGCTAAGCACTGAGCGGCATTAATATTTAATGGAGAATTAAACTTGTAGCAGCAGCATCCAGGAGACCATTAATGAAATTAAAATCACTTCTTTTTCCTTGAGTAAAAGTGATCCCCAGAGCCTCATCCTCCATCCCTTACACATGCAGAAGTTTCTTTAACTGCAAGACACTTGCTTATGTCCAAGGCTCCCGGTGGCCAACGGGTGAGTGGGGACACGCCTCGGCCCTGGTTGGCTCGGAAACACCAGAGCTCAGTCGTGGCCTCCAAGGTGATGCTCCTCAGGCGTGTTTGCACGACAGGCACTGCTTGGAAGGTGCGGGTAGGTGCCCAGGTGCACAAGGAGCTACTCGTGGACCTCAGGGATCCTATTTTTGTTGTAACATGCTCAGCACTAAGTAGTCTCAGCTCGTTGATTTTCAGTACTTACTCCTTTATACAACCACGGGTTTTCCTTTGAGGTACATTTCACTGGCAACCCATAAGCTTTGATATGTACTATTTTCATTACCATTCACTTGAAAAAGTGTCCTAATCCTCCATGGATTTCTTTAACCCATCTGCCCCTTAGAAACCTAGTTCTTAATTTGCAAATATAAGAGGGGTTTGGGTTATCTTTTTGGTACTGGCTTATCTTTTAGTGGTTTTAAGCGAGGCACAACGCAGGAGAAAAATAAGGTAACGGGTCATTTCTATGAGGCAGAGCTGTGAAGGTTGATGAGCCCAGCTGGGGGACTTGAGGGCAGGGGAGTGTCAGGGCCAGAGGAACCGAGAGTGAGCTGTCAGAATTGTGAGAGACATGCCTACCATAGAGCTAGTAATTACTTTCTAAGGTATAACCTTAAAAAAAGTTTTTTTGGTTCCAGGGATTAAACTCAGGGCCGGGATGTAGCTCAGTGGTGCTGCCGCCTGCCTTGCAAACACAAGGTCCTGAGCTTGATCCCCGGTACCCAAAACAACAACAAAAAAGCCATACACAGATCAACCCATAAGGATACTCTTCACAGTACTACCCGTAATGTGAAAGAATTTAGAAGGATCCTGGATGTCCAACATGAGCACAGCGAGTCCCACTGTCTACCCATCCACACACTGGGATTAGCCCCTGCTAAACAAAGGGCGTTCCAAAGTGCAATTACTGTTAGAAAGAGGTGAGAAAAACAAACTGGTGTATTTCTAAAAAGCAGCTAAAGAGCTAAACGGTGTATTTTTTTTTTTTTAAAAAAGGAACCCACATATTTAACTGAGAAGAAACTTTGGAAAATTATGCCCCAACGTGCAAATTGTTGGTTTGGTGGGTGGGGTCCCAGGTGATTCACAACTTTGGTTGGTTTTCTGGATTTTTTCCTACACCAGTCCAGTGGAAGGGTGTGTGAGGCACTCGGCAAGAGCCGTCCAGTACCCTAGGTTCCTGTGCGGGTGACCAGGGTGGTGGCCTCAGTCCCCAGTTCTTTGCTTATGGGAACAGGGTGGAGACAGGAGCCTGATCTCACACCCCTTCCCGCGATCCGCTAAGCAGCTTGCTAACTCAGACATGGCGGGGCTGGGGTTCCAGCATCCCTGGTCTTATCAGGCTTTAAATCTACCCACCATCAAGCCCGGCCTCTTCTGTAAAGTATTCTCTTCTCTGAAGAGCTGTGGGCTACGTCCTCCTCTGTGAAGGGACAGACAGAAGTGGATCCCTCTCTGGGGCCGAATGGAGAGAATTCCAGAATGGATGAATTTGGACAAGGTGCTGAGGACACACGAGGTCCACGGGGGCGGAGACGCAGACATCACGCTCCCCGTGGTCATCACTGCAGGCTCCTCCAGTCGGGCTTGGCTGTTCTGTTAGTGAGTTTTGCTAGCTCCGCTTTCAGCCGGTCACAGTTTGTTTGATGCCTGTCATTGCCTGTCCTCTTTTCCTTCCAATGGAACCATCACTCGGGGCCACCAGACCTCCTCCTAGACCTCGGCAGAGCCTGTCACCTGTCCTCTGAGGTTCCTGTCCACCTCTTGTATTTCTCAGGATCCTAATTCTGTCACTGCTTTCAAAAGTCTGAAATCCAGAACTGGGCACAGCTCTGCCGTAGCGGCCGGGTCATTAATGAAAGCATGCTGCAGTACCTGAGCTCCCACCTGTTAACCTCACACCAGCCATAAATAGAATTCCGGAATGCTGGTACAGAAGCCTATGTGAACCCCAGTCTGTTCTGTCCACAGGAGCTCGGAGAGGGCTTCACAACAGTGTATGTTTGCAGTAATCACATCTTTTCATTCTGGGTTTTTGTTTTGCAGTGTAGGGGTTAAACCTAGCACCTCTGCACTGAGCTATACATCCAGCTCTTTTTATTTTTTTGTTTTGAGACAAGGTCTTGCTAAGTTGCCCAACCAGGGCTTGAACTTGAGATCCTCCTGTCTCAGCCTCCCAGTGTTGGGATGATAGGGCTGTGAAACCACACACAGCTTTATTCTGTATTTCTGATGTAATACAATTCCCAGGGCTACCTGATCCCACAGAGAGCAAGCATATGGCCTCAGCAGGCCTTTCCTGTGTGAGCCATGCAAGCCCAACTTAGACACCCAACCACCCCCTCTATTGGGCACTTCACCTCCAGAGTCTGTTCCCCTGGCATCACCAGCTCAGGGCCACACCCCAGTGTCCGGTAACAACTCCAGCCAGGCTGTGTACCCTGCTGCGCACTTCCTTCCTGCGGGAACCGCCGGAGGCCCTGGCCCAGGTTTTCCTGTCACTCTTCTGCTCCGGTGCTCTTACAGCCTTCATGGCAGACCTGGGTCCTGCGTGTAGGGATCTGTGAGTGTCACAAACGGCTTCCTCATGGTAGCCTTTTCTGTATCCATGTAGCAGAAATGGTGGGTGGCGGTAGCAGCGCTTCCTGCGTGCCAGGCACTCTGTGTCGTGCCTGCACGATGGGACAGCGCCTCAAGCTAACAGGCACAGGCACTGACTTCCCTTTCCCTGTTAGGATGCTAACAGAGCTGACCCTCCCCTTGCAGGAGGTGCAGCCAGCGTGACTTTCTGTGGCTTCCTTCCCGTGGCGCTGTCGTCCTTTGTGTTGGAAGAGTCCCTCTTCGGGAGCTCTCTGGGGCCACCAAACCCTCTTCGGCCACCCTGATGCAACCCAAGAACCAGTCTTCCCAGTCCATCCTCTTGAAGTCTTCATGCCCCTGTCGCGTATTACTTTACTTCAGCACATGGCTGTGCAAGGCTGGGGACCAACTCAGAGTCACATTTGTGCCTCTCTGTCCTGTGACCTCTGCCTCAGCCGCACAGCAGACCCCCAGGGAGCTCGGGCACAGGCAGTGGTGTCACCGCGGCTGCACTGCGGACTTCCCCGTGCACCGTGAGGAGGCGCTGTGACCACCTGCTGCCTGCCTCCGAGCCATCTCCTCACAAGAGGACCCTGGCTCGGAGGGTCAGGTTGGGGGTGCTGGCACATGCGCTGTGCCCTGCCAGCCGCCTCTGCTCGGGTGCGGGCTTGCCGCAGTGCTTGCTGATAGCTCTGCGAGGTGGGAGGACGAAGGGCACAGCCGAGCTCCTTCCCTTGGGCCAACAGCACCAGACAGAAACTGCGATGTGGGCCTGGTGGCGGTGACAGAAGACGCCGGGAAAGCCTCCTGGGACTGCAGCTTTGACCCTGCACTTCAGGGCCACCTTTCTTTTTATAAATTTATTAGTATGTATTTTCTTTTCCTTTTTTTTTTTGAGACAGGGTCTCACTATGTAGTTGAGACTGACCTGGAACTCACTATGTAGCCCAGGCTGGACTCGAAATCTCAGCGATCCTCCTGCCTCAGCCTCCTGAGTGCTGGGATTACAGGCGTGCGCCACCATGCCTAGCTTAGTACGTATTTTCAACACCTAAGGATGACATTCATTGTGGGGTACTGGTACATACGCACAGCTCACCAGGGTCTCACTATGTAGTTGAGACTGACCTGGAACTCACTATGTAGCCCAGGCTGGACTCGAAATCTCAGCGATCCTCCTGCCTCAGCCTCCTGAGTGCTGGGATTACAGGCGTGCGCCACCATGCCTAGCTTAGTACGTATTTTCAACACCTAAGGATGACATTCATTGTGGGGTACTGGTACATACGCACAGCTCACCTTCGTCCTTTTTACTTCTCCTTTCTCCCTCCATCCTTAGGTCCACTTCCCATCTGCCAAAGGTCTACTCCCTGTTCTTCGGCTCTATAAATAATGTCGTATACTTTGGCTTGCTCAGCAAAGGGAAACCATGTGCTATTTTACCTTCGGTTTGGTATATTTGGGAAAACAGATGCATCTTGAGGATGTGACGTTAAGCAAAATAAGGCTCAAATTTGTCCTCCTTGATGGCTGAGTGCTATTCCGTCTGTATATATACCATGTAGGCCACTCCTTTTTTAAACTTTTCAGCGTGCCTTGGGGGTTACTCAGGCCTAAGCATTTGGGAAGGTGAACTGCTAAAGTGCTCGAGCTGAAGAATACACATGACAGAGGAGTAGGAGAGAGGAAGCACAGGCAGAAGCAGGGGCTGCGCAGCCCGAGGGTCGACAGAGAGCAGGGGTAGCTCCTGCTGGCAGCTGGTGGGGGGGACCTGAGGGGCAGCACCTGAAGGAAAGTGCTGCAGGCGTTAAGCTCCCTGGGATGGCTACTAAGCACATAATTTTGCGCCTGTGTCTAAAAGATGAGCTGCTGAGCAGTCTTGGTTTTTGTAAAAGCTTGCTTTTTAATGTATATCAAAACACATGCAGTTAGGAAGATGGGCTGGGGCAGAGCCGTCACGATCAACTTCAGGTACTGGCTGATTAGTGCGACAGCAGAACAGTACCGCCACCTGGTGGCCGTATGCAAACATGCTCTCATTCCACAGACCCAAGGCCTCCCTTTTGAACTGAAGTGGGAAGTGGGGGTACTCTCAGGTACGGCAGTCAACACACAGTTGGC